GTATATATATATAGCGCACACACACACACATATATATATATGTATATGTATATATACATAGATATACATTTATATATATATATATATATATAAGTAAACATACATATGTAGATATGTTTTTTTGACTTGCTGCATGTCTTCATGATAATATCATCTTACGGAACAATTTCATTGATTGTCCAGGTATCTATAAAACGCGTCAAATGCCGTCCTCCGGGGGTTTCAAGCAGGTAGGTGCCTATGCCTACCGCCCAACTGTCGATAAAATTGGACAGGGATCGTTCGCCACAGTATATAAAGCCAAGCGACAAAAGGTAAACATCGATGTGTGACCAATGGCGATCGTTGTTTTGGGTTGGGTTTGGTTTGGTTTTGATTTTGGTTTGGTTTGGTTTGTATTGTTATCTGTGCATGTGAACAGTAAAGAATTTACATACCACAAGCACGCGAGGGTGTGTCTCAGCTGTCAGACTAGATTTGGAGACTTTCTTGCGATCCATTTTATTTTGGCGTATTCAATAGCAAGCCCAGGCAAAGTGATTTTTGTGCATCGGCACAGAGCTGGCAGGGCCTTTTCTCCTCAAACCATCTCTCCATAGCCAACCGACTTTGCGATGACTGGCTACTACCTACTGCCCACGTTAAACCATCACGTTGCTGTTGTACACATTCCCAGGATGACGAGATCTTTGCTATCAAGCGCATTAACACCACCATGCTCAAGCCAAGATTGCTGGACAATCTTGAACTGGAGATACAGATTATGACCCGCATGTCTCACCCCAATATTGTCGGGTTGTACGACGAAATGGTGAGTGTAGCGATGTTTGGGTATAATCATATATATATCGTTGTATTGGTGTATATAACATGTACCATGCATTACCTGTGAATCTTAAAAACAATCGCATAGAATGTTGGGGTTAACCGGTGCACGCCTGTGAATAGGATTAGCCCTGCCAATTACTTGCTTGTAAAATCAATACCAACATAACCTAAACTTGGCTGACTGTTTATCTCACCCATTGATCTTTTAATATTTGATCGCATATTAGTTTTCGTTCGCGTTGCTTTGAGCTTGAGATTAGTTTATTGCCTTACCACAGAGCTCAGCATGCAGACACTCAATCACTTGTGTATGTCACCTTTCTAAACACAACAGGAGTCTTCTGAACATATGTACCTCGTCATGGAGTTCTGCGAAGGCGGCGATCTGTCCCACTACATCCAGGTATCTCCATCTTTTACTATCTGACCTTCGCAATTGGTCGAACGTTTCCTCAGGTGTCTGGCCCAAAATTCCCATGCAAGGGGTTTATACTGCACGTTTTCTGAACAAGAATCCCAATCTCACATTCTCACTACCCCGCAGAAGCGGAACAAGACCGACAAAGGCGACATACAGCCGCCTATGGGGCTGGACATGGTAAGAGCGGTGGCCCAGCAGATAGGCAGTGCGGTGATCCACCTGAGCAAGCACAACATCATTCACAGGGACATCAAGCCACAGAATGTGCTGATACAGGTAAGGTATCCTCTCGTCACACAAGGCCAGAGACAGCTTCAATGTGATCAAGAGATTGTGGTTTCATGAGAAATTTGAGTTCAGCGTTCTATGTCTATGATATGGTACCCTGACTCTCTGAGTGGTTGTACGAATTGGTATGGTTGCCTTGAGTTCGCTTTTGTCTGGGGATTCTCATGGCGATGAACTGTGAATGTCGGGGTTGGTAGTGTTAGTGTACATGTTGAGTGTATAGACGAGGTAAGCTACACTACATTTATATGGAACCTTCTTCAATACACGTGTATATTATTATACATGAACGTGGTGTGTATGTTTTGTCATATTGTTTTTGTCCCTATACATGAACGTGATGCGTATTGTGTATGGTTTGTCATATTGTTTTTGTCCCTATACATGAACGTGATGCGTATGTGTGGTCATACGGTTTTCGTCCCCGTCAGTATGGTGTACGCTGTATCGCACTAGAACCATTTAACTCTTATTATTGTGGTATCTATTCCTCTGTGTATAGAGCTCATTTGGATTCACACCACGTGGTCTCATCAATTCTGCCATCGTATTTTTCGGTCCCAAACTTCCGTTTCATTTTCCTTTTCTTTGTCGTTTCACGTTTGGATACAGATACAGAAGGACGGGTCGATGTGCTTCAAGGTGTGTACGGGTTAGCAGAACGGCGAGACATCTGGGCTGGGTTCTGTGCAATTCGAATGTCGTACGCATGTTATTCAACGAAATTGGTTTTCGGACTTCGTTTGCCCTAATCTGGATGTTGGTTTGTCTTATTTTCCTGAAATGGATGAAAGTATATATATTTTTATTTTGGTGCGTGGGTGTGTGTGTGTGTGTGTGTGTGTTCATGTACTTCTTGCAGGCCGGATGTCGTATGTGGATTTGACTGTGTTCGCTATGTTTCTAATGTGAGATGTCATCAAGTCGTTTAGGTTTCCGTGCATGATGCTAGAACGTCGGATTGGCGAAACATAGGTCGTTTGCAGAAATTGGACCCGCAGTCTTCTCTCTCTCTCTATTCACATTAATATCCGTGTCACACCTACTCAGGTGGCTGATTTCTCTCTCTCTATTCACATTAATACCCGTTTCTCACCTACTCAGGTGGCTGATTTCGGGTTTGCGCGGTATCTGGAATCAGAGCTGGCTGCCACACTGTGTGGTTCGCCGCTCTACATGGCCCCCGAAATCCTCGCTTCACAGCCATACGGCTGGAAGGCTGATCTGTGGAGCATAGGGACAGTTCTGTACGAATGCTTGACCGGGAGGCCCCCGTTCACCGCCACGAATCACATAGAGCTCGCGAATGTGATCAGGGACACCTGGGATAAGCTAACGTTCCCCGACGGTAAGGTCTGGCGTTTGGCGTGGCGGCGTCTCGTGGTATTGCGCGTGCCTAAGTATTCGGGCCGTGTGGTTGTGCGGGTGTGCTGTGTGTCTGTGGCAGAATTGGCAGGCGCTCTGAAGGGGGGGTGTGTAGTACTGACAATCCTCAGCTGAGAGCGATAAGCGTGGGTGTGCGCATGTATCGAGATAGAGAGCTTCCTAGGGATGTTGTGGCTGGTATTGTTGGGTTGTCCTTGGTGACACGTGGGTGTGGAGTACTGACAATCCTCAGCTGAGAGCGATATGTGTGGGTGTGCGCATGTATCGAGATAGAGAGCTTCCTAGGGATGTTGTGGCTGGTATTGTTGGGTTGTCCATGGTGACACGTGGGTGTGTAGTACTGACAATCCTCAGCTGAGAGCGATATGTGTGGGTGTGCGCATGTATCGAGATATAGAGCTTCCTAGGGTTGTTGTGGCTGGTATTGTTGGGTTGACCATGGTGACACGTGGGTGTGTAATACTGACAATCCTCAGCTGAGAGCGATATGTGTGGGTGTGCGCATGTATCGAGATATAGAGCTTCCTAGGGATGTTGTGGCTGGTATTGTTGGGTTGTCCATGGTGACACGTGGGTGTGTAATACTGACAATCCTCAGCTGAGAGCGATATGTGTGGGTGTGCGCATGTATCGAGATATAGAGCTTTCGAGGGATGTTGTGCCTGGTATTTTTGGGTTTCCATGGGGACACCTGCCCCTTCGGATGTCTCTGGTCCATACTCTGCATGCTGAGTCATGAGTCATGTCAGGAGCTGCATCTCCCCTCTGCCACAGTTGATTGTTAGCTCACTGTGTGCCTTACTGTGCCTTCGAATGCAATCCCATTATGGTATAGTCATTGGTACTGAAGACAGCCCACGTGGTCGTATCCTTCACATGTAATCCCATTGTGGTATAGTCACTGGTACCGAAGACAGCCCACGTGGTCGTATCCTTCCCATGTAATCCCATTATGGTATAGTCACTGGTACTGAAGACAGTCCACGTGGTCGTATCCTTCACATGTAGTCCCATTATGGTATAGTCACTGGTACTGAAGACAGTCCACGTGGTCGTATCTTCTGCACAGGTATCGATGAAGATCTGCGCGATTTGCTGCACCGTCTGCTGCAGCGTGATCCCGCATTGCGCATGACGGCTACTGAGTTCTACGCCCATCCCTTTATGAAACTGGAGCAATATGAAGCCCAGGAGTCGGTGGTTATCGGCGATGTCAATGAGGCCGACCGATTGGGTAGGTTATATCTCTGTACCCGTAGTCGTGGGTGGGTGCGGCATAGGCCATGAGCGTACACTCGTGTTTATATGTATGTCGGTGGTGAGCTGACGTGTGTGAGAATCTATTTTGAATGTGCTTCCCTGTCTGGTTGGTTTGTACGCTTGATAATATAGCGAGAATGATCAATTGAGTATGAGACGCTGAATGCAGCTGCAGCCGTGGGCGTAGTGTACATGGTGCAATGGCATACTTTTGTACGTTAAGGTTTTTTGAAGCTGAGTTAGGAGTAGCCGGCGATCATAACCCATCTTCAGCCTGGAAGCTTGGATGTGTATGTTCTTACATTGTGTATGAAAGTGGCAGGCAAGGATCTGGCGATTGTGAAGTATGGTAATAGTTTATTGTAGCATGAGTATTTCTGCTGGCTTGCAATCCAACACTGAGCGCTCTCGAGCATATCTGTGTGTTAGCGTGTGTACCAATCACGTAACGGTGGTACGGAATTCGGGTTCATTTTGTATCGCCGCATGGCTGGAGAGACTTGAACATATATGAGAAGTGTCTTAGTTCAAATGCGACGCAACCCACTCCCACATCGTATACGTCGCATGAGGCAGTATCACGGTAGTCAGTGATTCCATGAGATTATGAAGGTTATATTCTTTCTGGGATGACGGTTTTTTACGGTAGTCTGTGATTCCATGAGGCTATGAAGGTTATATTTTTTCTCGGATGACGGTGTGCACGGTAATCAGTGATTCCATGAGGCTATGAAGATTATATTCTTTCTGGGATGACGGTTTATTTTGATCGGTTGTATGGCATGGTATCAACACTGATACGCACGGCTAAGGGCAGCATTGACTTCAGTACCCTGTTGTGTGTGCGACTGAAGTCTTACCTCATTCTGGTGCATGTGACTGTGAACATTCATGGGCAGGGGAGAAAGCATTTCCGATTGGATTGGGAAAAACCCCTTTTGCATTCCATTTTATGTGAACCAGTATGAGCTCCGTATGGTTTTACTACGGGTATACTTTGGGGTGTCAGTCTGTTCTATTCCGTAGTGCGGCATTGTATCAAGATTTGTACGGGCGGTTAGAAGCACTGATAACTTCAGTGCCATACCCTGTTGTTTGTGTGCTATTACAATCTTGCCTCTCATTCTGTTGCAGCCGCATCAGGCATCGAAGACTTCAATGCTGGCACAGCAGACACGGTACCCGCCACGACCTTACAGGTATGGTACTCACACAACTGTCGGATTGTTTCGGCTATGACGCCAAGGACACTGCTTCATGGGATATAGCGTAACGCGTGATGCATGCACACATCTACATGTACCTAAATGCCGCTCAGGTCATCAGCCCATGACGCGTGTTTGTCCTACCGTGCTGCATACGTGATTGGGTTGCGCTGTGTACCGTGGTTGTTATATTGTATTGTAGTAGCCACATAGTCTATTAATCCATGAGGCGTGTTTGTCCTACCGTGCTCCATACGTGATTGGTTTGAGCTGTGTGCCGTGGTTGTTATATTGTATTGTGGTAGCCACATAGTCTATTAATCCATGAGGTGTGTTTGTCCTACTGTGCTGCATACGTGATTGGTTTGTGCTGAGTGCCAGGGTTGTTATATTGTATTGTAGTAGCCACATAGTCTATTAATCCATGAGGCGTGTTTGTCCTACCGTGCTGCATACGTGGTTGGTTTGCGCTGTGTGCCGTGGTTGTTATATTGTATTGTAGTAGCCACATAGTCTATTATTTCATGAGGCGTGTTTGTCCAGCGATGCAGCGCCATCTATTACCGTGCCAGGTATGCTTTGCCACTCTTGCGGCGGTCGTTTTGTCAAGGGCCGTGTTTGACAGCTGATGTGCCTGTTCCTGCATTCTATCAGTTAGGCGACAGAAGACCTTTAGTATCGCGTCTGCACGCCACGCAGTGAGATAGGGCTGTGGCCCAGAAGTCCTATGCGTAGTGCAACAAATCTCTGCCACAGCGCACGAAGATTCCGTTTCACACACTATCTTTTAAATCAGTTATTTTACCGTTTACTGCTCAGGCACCTCTATCAACCCCCCAGAGCCCATCCACGCCCGCACCAATAGCACCACAGGCCATGTCCGATAGTGTCACCATCACCACACCCGACGCCCAGGCCACTCCAGCCAGCGATATACCACCCCACCCCTCTGTGCCCTCTGTCGCACCTCTGACAGCGCTCGAGAGGGATACGCCCCAACACCACTCAAGCGGGGTAGCAGGTACCGATACGGTAGGTGGCGATAGTGTAGGTACCGATACTGTGGAGGGTGACGGTGCAGTGCGCACGAGTACTACCGAGAATCCGGTTGCCATGGAGCGTGCGACCACTCGGGGCCCTGGCGCTGATGAGTCAGCGTCAAACCAAGCGACGGACAGCGGTACGCGCGAACGGTTGCGCGAGAAGAGGTTCACGCGACAGGTGTCGTTTGATGGACAGGTCACCCACATCACCGATCGAGAAACGGTGTCCATGCAGCCCCACCCACATCCCCACCCACACCACGTGAGTGGCCCGGATGTGCCTGGGCTCAGAGTGCGCTTGGCATCGCCGCAGCCGCCAGCCGGCTCGCCAGAAGGATCCGAATTAAGACCAAACACCACCGAATTAGGGTCAAATACGACCGAATTGGGGCCAAACAGGACTGGTTTGGGGCCAAATGTGGCCGCGCCGCCATCAGGAGGTGTCGCAGATGGACGGGGCACCGACACACGTGGCAGCGAAGCAGACGATACGCTCACCCCTGCGGCAGAAGAGAGGCACCGGAATGACGGCGAGCGGTACGGCAGTGAGCAGGACTGGTACAACGGCCAAGGGGGGCCTTCTGAGGGGTCCAGTGGCAGTGCACGGGACAGACATACGGGCGTCAATGCACCTGCCAGGCGGAAGAGCTGTGGCGACGGGGCAGGGGTGCGGCATCTGCTCACGCGTACGCAGCGAGATGGCCTGGGCAATACCACATCGCCTGCCACACACCCACACCCACACCCCACGCTGCACCCACACCGCGACGGGGGGAGCCGGACGTCACACAGAAGGTCGCTGGAGGATGTGCGGGAACACAAACACGGGCATACAGACACACTCGCACCTGCACACGCACCATACCATGGAGAACGACAACGCAGGTCAAGCAACGACGCGTGTCTGATGGAGCGCCGAGGCTCGGGCGAGCACGAGGGCCGCCGCAGGGAGCGGAGTGCGTTAACCGGGAAAGGGCCTTCGAGTGGGAGTATACCGATCCAGGGGGTGCGGGACTATACACCCGAGCATGAGCACCGACACGCAGACGCATACACACGGTACCACGACACGGCACATGACAGACCACACAGTAGCAGCGGCAGGGAGACGAGTGCGAATGCGGACATGCGAGTGTACAGCGAAGGCAGGTATGCATCGCACCACACACAGCGCACGGACCAGTCCACACCACACCCGCGGGGGCAGGCGCAGGGCACAGAGGACAAGGACATGTACGGGCGTGCAACACGCGGGGACGACAGGAGGCGCTCGTCCAATGAGAGCGAAGAGAGTAGGCGATTGTCCAATGAGAACGAAGAGAGAAGACGATTGTCCAATGAGAGCGAAGCGAGGAGGCGATTGTCCAATGAGAACGAAGACAGGAGGCGCTCGTCCAATGAGAGCGAAGAGAGAAGGCGATCTTCGAATGTGAACATGTCTGGCGGTGGTGGTGGAGGGGAGATGGTACATTTCGGGTCGTCTGGAGGGCACGATAATTACAGACAGGGTGACATCGGTAGCTTCAAAAGCCCCATCCCTCGCTGGGCAGCAGGTACGAGTTTCCATGCGTGTGTTTANATATATATATATATTATATTGTTTATGTACATATATATATATATATAT